CAGGAGGGAGGGTCGCGCTCGAAGGTCGCCAGCGGAAGGTGACGCTACGCGGCCCTCTGCAGGCCAGCTCCAGCTGCAAAGTAGGTCGGGGTCTGACCCCGGGCCGAGCAATATTAGCTTCTAGTATTTGGGGTGATATAATTTGTTCCAGAAGTGAAGCTTTATAATACACCCCCAAAAACCACCCCACGACGCGGCACTTTTAATTATTTAAACGTTAGGAAAATCTAACATATACACACCATCATATACATATATTACACATTAGAGTTCAGGAAGAAACATAAAATCTGGGTACATTATAGTATATTCATCTCTCTCACATAAACAAAAGTAGGTTATCCAGGCAAAAATACAACCTACTAATTTATACGTGTTTCCCATAAATCTGATCTGGTCTGGAGAAAAAATACGATGTGAAATAAGCACTTGGGGATCATTCGCTGCTGCTACTTACAAAGCCAAGCACCAAGCAGAGGCTGACACTGGCCCTCCCTGCCTTCGCAGGAACAGCACTTCCCTGAGCTGTCCTCTAAAAAGATACACGAGTCAGAATCCAGCAAATCACCCGGCTCTGGGAAACGTCTTCCTAAAAATACAATCTTATCAAAGCCCTCTGAAGGCGTGGAGTTAAAACTACAGCAAATGGCCTTGAGCACGGATCTGCACACAGCCCTGGAGAAACACCAGAAATAGCACTGGGAGGCCGCAATTGTTAAAATCTGATAGGACTAAATTTAGAAGAATGCACATTTCATGTAGGGGAAAGACATACATAGGGCAGCATAAGCAAACTCAATGCTGACCCAGTTGTCTGTTTTCCTGTGTAATCTATCCCTTAAAAAAATGTTACAGTGGCATTTAAAGTCTGAGATTGTCCTACTTTCTTTGTAACAAGATTATAAAATCATGTAATTAGCTCCCTCTTCCTATGCTCACTGCCAGCAAATTCAGCCGTTACATAATGCAACATTTCCAGGAAACTGATGTGATCTGTCACGTCGTGTCTGAAAAAGCAACAATAAGGTGAGGAACGGGCTGCTCGTAAGGAATGCATTAAAATTAGGCGGGGGGAGGGTGGGGGTAAACGTCACAAGGGCTCATTCCAGATTTAAAAATAATAGCGCAGATACTACCAGGGGCGAACCCTGTCGTATCTGAGATCAGAATTCAACCCGAGGAAGTCTTCCTTTCACGTTTTGTAGGAATGTTTTAAAATGAACCTTTTTATTGGGGACGTACTATAGATGTGAATAACGACCTAATACTCAACGCTGCGCTAACATTCCCAGGTCATTGCACACGTACGCGCACATTCCCAGAGGAGCCGTAATCCTCGCCAATCTCTCGCCGTGGGCAGATTATGCAATGTGTGCAAGGACAAACCACAACCTCCCGAAGCGCGGGTGCCACACGCTGACGACAAACGCGGAGGAAAACGTCTGTGCTCACACCGCCCGGACAAAAACAAACGCGGCGCAGGCATTCTCCGAGTGCCGTCACTGTTCACGCCACCGACCCTTTCTCAACAAGAAAATCCAGACTATTTCCCATTACTCAGCCGCCCCCCCAACCCCCCGCCCCCCTCCCCGCCGCCAGCACCGCAGAAAGCAGGAGAAAGGAGAGAGCGTTGCCCTTCCCGCTCGAGATGGCTCAGCCTCGGCTACTTCTCCGCTTCTCTCTACCAAAACATCAATTTTCCCGAAATCAGGAGACATT